AACACTTTTTGTTAAAAATGAATATTTTCAGTCACTTGAGAAACGACGTGCTGCCGATATCTATGCGTTTGGAATGGTTATGTACGAAATTCTCTTCAGATCTTTTCCATATAGTGATAAGGTTGATCTTAATGGTGAGCTGGGGTTCTCAAAAGAAAAAAATATTTTCCCACCAAAAATCAAACTCTATTTATAGAAATGGCTACAAAAGCAGCAGAAGGCGAGAAAATTTCTCGACCATCCGTTCAAAAAGACAAACAATTGCATCCTGACTTACAAGCTCTTCTGCAGGTATAAACTCAACTTTCAGCGAAAAATTTCCCTTTCATAAAATTTCCTTTAGGACTGCTGGCACGACTCACCTGATGCGCGTCCATCTGTACGACGAGTTCGCCTGTCTACAGAATCAATCATGAAGACGTAAGCAATAGCAAACTGCCTTAAATATAATGCTTACGTTAGCTGAGCAGAGGAGTGGTGGGACCCACTCAGACAATTATTGACCAGAAGTTCTGCTCAAAGTCCAAGAAACGGACCTCCTGCAGCCCTTTGCGAAAAATGCTTCGGAAGTTTCTGTTGTCAATCAATGTGGCGTCAAATTCCTGCGGAAGTTCCCTTTATGTTCAAACTTCTCCGATAGTAGACAAAATTCTGTAGAATCGTCGCAAAACTTCTTGTCCAGCGGAAGTTCCTCTGACCGTCCGACATTGAGGAAAGGAATTGTATTTCCAGTGGCCCAAAATTAATAGCAAATGGGCCGTATCTTCTTCCTTTCATCTTTCTGATGGAGAGAAAGTTCCTTGCACGTGAAGCTTAAATTTTTTTCGCAGTTACTTAACTTTATCCAAATTCAGCAAAGGAAGTCTTGTTGACTCTATGACTCGAATGATGGAAGAGTACGCGAACAATTTGGAAAAACTCGTGGGTGAGCGAACGGGAATGTTGGAAGAAGCAACGATCAGAGCCGATAAACTGCTTGGCCAACTCTTACCTAAGTAAGTTTTTTGGTTCAAAACCAATATCAATCGTATTTCCAATAAGTATCTTAGGTTTGTCGCCAACGAACTAAAAAATGGACGTCCAGTTCCTCCAAAAATGTATAAATCAGCGACCGTACTATTTACGGATGTTGTCGGATTTACAAAGCTTTGTGGCTCGTCCACTCCGATAGAGGTAGGATATCTGACGTGATTTACCCATCCATAAAAGTAATCATTTGACGTAAATTCAGGTTGTCAATCTTCTTAATAGCGTCTATTCTGGATTTGACGATATCATAAACAAACATGACGGATATAAGGTGAGTAAACGAGAATAGCAACCGGCTTATGGGGTAAAGGATAAGCTAGAATACACACCAGTTCTAAAATAATAGTAAACATCTATATGACGAAATGGAGGGATAAAAATTGTTTTTTT